ATAACCTCTCTATTTTCATAAAATAGGAATAAAATTACGTATATGTCACCCTCTCCAAATCCACTTCTGAAATTACATTAATACTTAGTATATGTACCAAACGACATAAGTACTAATCAACAATTGTATAATTTTTCAGCCAAATGATAAATTATACTAAGTTTTTGGTTGGGTGGTTAAGGAGAATTAGCAAACATTATTTACTAATTTTTCGGAGAATAAATTGTATTGATTTGAGGTAATATCTAATACAATTTTATTTTATTTTTTGAGGGGAACCAAATATAGACAATCAATTCCTTTTCTTTTTTTTTTCAAAAAGAATAAAATAAAATAAAGAATGTGTTTTTACTGGTGGTGTAGAGGTTAATGAATTAATTGTTAAATAATAATCAAAACTAAAGAGAGATAATTAAGCACAATATCTCAAACTATAGGAAAATATAGTACCACTAGTACAAACAATTAGGTTTTATAAAATTTGCTCTAAAATAAATTAAACCTTAAAGGGTTTAGAATATACACAATTCTTTTTAAATGTTTGTTCATATAGATGACACACAGTTAATCTAAAAAATCCACCTCTTGATTAAGGTAAATGACCACAAGAAACTTTATTCGAGAAGGAGATCGTGGATCGTGGTGATGAAACATATGAAACTTAACTCGAAGATTTCCCCCCTAGAATACGAATAAAATTTCACATTAGTCTATATATAAAGTGCATGGATACTCTAATAGTTTTTGAAAAAATCGTACGAATTTAACCCAAAATAAAATATTACCGCATATTAAAAGTATATATAAAATATATAAAATGAAAATTGAATGATGTATTGACTAATGGTAGGACAAGTAGATAAGCCTTTTAACTTCAAAATTTTCAGAGCCCATTTTGCTAGGTGACATACAAAAGCATCAAATCAAAGGAAAAAATCAAGAAGCAATGTCAAAGGCCATATATATTGTTTTTTTCTTGTCATATTGAGCTGAATTCAACTTTAGAAAGCTGAACCCATCACTTATTTTATGAAAAAAATGTCTCCTAGCTTTTGTATTACTTCTTCTATTACTCAAGAAGAAGTGCATGCATTTGTTTGTTTGCTTTTTGGAAGCTTCTATGATTTCAAGATGCTCTTGAAAATTGATAGATCTACCGACAAGGATTGTGGTGGAGTAGTAACATGTAAGTACTTATTCATCCTTAATTAGAGGTCACGAGTTTGAGTCTCTATGGGTACAGAGTCGCCTTTTTTAGGAGCACTTTACCGAACTTCTCGATATGAATTCAAATTTAATCGGACTACAAAATGTGTACCAAATACCGAATGAAAACCCAAAAAAAATAGTTTGAGAGATAGTGTAAGAGAAAGGGAGAAACTATATATTTAAATTTTAAATTTTTTTGTATATATACTGATAGTATCTTGCTGATTTGTTGTATGCTTCAAATATTCTTTATTTATACAGAGTGTCTATCAGAAACAATTTTTCTATATAATAAAAGTAGGGATTATAATAAGACATATCACGTTTTAGTCTATCCTTAATAAGAAATCTCGAGTTCAAATCTGTGTAGGAATAGAAATATTTTTGTTGAGAGCGACACCTTTAAAAAGAAGCATTGAAATGTGTGAATAATAATTTAGTCGAACCTTAAGACGAATACGGCGGATAAGTTTTTACCCTAGAGAGTAATAAGACATATCACATTTTAGTCTATTCTTAATCAGAAATTCGAGTTCAAATCTTTATAGGAATAGAAATATTTTTGTTGAGAGCAACACATTCAAAAATAAGCATTGAAATGTGTGAATACTAATTTAGTCGAACCTTAAGATGAATACAACAAATAAGTTTTTACCCTAGAGAGGTTAAAAAGATTGAGGTTAATGCAGTACTCTCCAAGATAAATAGTTCCTTGCTAAGGCAGTAAACTGCTGAGCAACAGGCCATAAGTATAATGACAAATATTCCAATATAGGGAAGTATAATTTATTGCTATTAATTACATATAAGAACATGGAAAAGGTGACAATTTTACCTTTGTCTTCCCATCTTGAATCTCATATTTCAAAAATATTTAAGTGGTTGTAAAGTTGTTTTGTATTATCAATGCTTTATAACGTATGATAGTAGATCGTAAGAGAGTTCAATGCATTAAGTTTTTGCTACGTACGGATTTTAGAGAAGTTATTATAGGCAACTTTATAATTTTGCATTTCTGTTAGAAGTTATTCTCATAGCTCAAACTCGTGATCTGAATACACAATTTTATAAACTTGTATTTCTGTTAGAAGGTATTTTCATAGCTCAAACTCATGATCTCCAGATCACATGACAATAACTTTATTAGTTACTCCAAGATTCCCCTTCAACGTTTAGTATAGTAGATTAATTATTAATTTTAGTTGAGTTTAAGTTATATATGTTGTTAGTATAAGGAAATTTTTATACAATCATGTCATCTTTATTTGTTATAGCAGATAATCTGTCTTATTTTCAAAATTACAAAATTCACATGTAAAGAGACTAACATGTAAATATTCATAATTGACCTATAACAACATGTAGCCCTTTATATCAAATCTGATATAATAATTTTAAAAATAGACTTATAATAACCTTTAATAACTTGTTCAATACATTAATAAGAGATTTACTTGTAATTATCTTATAATTTGCGACCACTTTGAGTAAATGCATGTTATATAAACATAAAACTTATTTCTCATGATGAGAAAGTGTACTCAAGGAGTTTCTTATTTGGATTTTAGTATAATTCTAATATCAAGACTTTGGAAATTTCATATTTTTGGAGATATTATTATGGTTTTTGTTACTTGGGAAAGTGATCAAGTGGAGTGGTTGTATTGCTTCTTTTGCAATTCCACTGGACATTTATTGCCAAATAGAACTCATTTTGAGTCTTTGGGATATGTCTCAAATATTTGGGTTAGATGTTTTTTAGAACAAAAATAATTCAATCTTTTGTTGTATTGTTTTATATACTTAGGCTGGTTGGACATATAATATGAACTCATGATACAAAGTTAAAGTTTTGTATGAATATGCAATTTGAATTTTTTTCAATTCTTATACAATCTTATCAAATGAACAAATCATAATTCATAAAACAAGATATCATTATATCCTAAGGCGCCTTATAAATCACATATTTACATGTTCCTCTTATGAATAAGTATTTGTAATTATAAACTTTCAAATACACATAATTTTATAAAAATCCACTAATCAACAACAGTAATAACTAGTTATTTTTCAATATAATTTCTTTCACATGGTACGAACAATCTCTTCACGCTGAGCAAAAGTCTTTTTTGCAAAATTTATTTATTTTTTATATTCCAAGTTAATCATGTTTTTTTGCTGTTGGAGAATTTGAAATTTGCAATCATATCCCAATTGATATACTTAATATATAAAAATATTTTATTTCAAACCTAATTGATATTCTATCCTAAAATTCAAAATATGAATTTTATATTTTGAATATACTTCTTTTACTAAAAAAAAAAAAAGTTCAAGACTTCGAGCATTGTAATTCTATTTTATTTATTCATATTATTAAGTGAGTTGGATCCTGTTTTTCAGCAGATTAATGTTTTCATTGACTATATATTATCTTGTTTTAATTACTATATTAATTACTACTTTATTGTTTCTGTTTGGAACGTTAATTAGTTGGATCATAAATTAATTGAGGTGATTTATTATTTTATTCATTTGAATTTTACTTTTTTAAAAAGTATTATTAGAAATATCATTTGTAGTTTGAATTCAAAATATCAATAAGTACTACTAACTTCTCATCTAATTTGAATTTTTTCTCCATAATTGGTCCCCTACATTCTATTTCTAGACTTCTAGTAGTATTATAATTATATATAGCATGTTTGGTGATTTTAATTAATCAAACTTTTTAGTGGTGATAAGACAATTTGTTGCTATATTCAAACTTTCGAACTGTTTTGAATTATTTTATTTGTTTTGAGAGTTTATCAAAAATTATTTTTCTATATCCGCGAGTTAAAGATAAAATATTATATTGAAAAAGGTTCAAACATATCTTTGAAGTATTTGAAATTGTGGTCTTTGTTTATAGTTTAGCTCATGTATGTCCTTATCATTTTATAGTTGGTCCAAATTAATATGTAATTAATTTAATTAAAACCCCTAAGTATCCCAATCAGCTAATTAATAATCAAGAAACGTTTCGTCATAGTTTTTTTACTCAGCACACTTATTTCAAATTCTGAAAAAATAATTTTTCTAATTGTGCCGAAGATCTATGGTAACTTCTCTATACGACAAAGGTAAGAGTAAGATATGCGTACACAATCCCCTTCCCTAGACTCTACTTGTGAAAAATATACTAGCTATATTGTTACTATAATAGCAAGAAATGTTTATCATAATTTACTCGCGCATTTATTTTAAATCATTTTCTGAAGAAAAATAAAAATAAATCTTGAATCGAGGACATATCAGAATCAACCTTTTAACTCCATACGATCTGCGTACACACTCTCCTTCCCTCAGACTCTACTCGTAAAAAATATATTGAGTATGTTATTATCATAATAAGTAAGAAATGACCAAATTTGTCCTTAAAGTATAGGAAGTTGAAAAAATATGTCTTTATTATTATATTGATGATCTCAATTAATTAATTTATTGAAAAGTCTGTTGATGAAGACCTATATGCATGAACTGTTTTCATATTTCAGGGGAAAAAGCTAAAGGTGGACTAAATTAGATGAGGTTGAATTTTGTGTGTTAAAAAGGGACAATAAAAAGGACAAAAAAACAGCAAAAAGTTGCACTATCTGACCATTTTTTAAAAAAATATAAAAAACTACTCATTTTTTGAAAACTGTTCTCTACGTGATCAATTTTATACTTTATATTATATATATATAAGTCTCCCACTCATACCCTAATAATTGTATAATAATTCTCTCTTCAAATTCAAAAACAAAAAAATAATTCTCTCTTGTTCTTCATCTTCTTTTTCTTTTTGTCTTTTCAAATGGAAAATAGATTTAAAATGAAAATCTCTAGTTTGTTTAAATCATCATTTGGTTCTTGTAAATCCAAGAATATTTCTGATGATATTGATAATAATAAAAAACCAGTTTTTCATACCCAAAATCATCAACATTATCAATTAGTTGATCTTTTCTCTCCCAAACCAAGTCCATTTCCTTCCATGTTTAGACACAAATGCCCTCAAAATCCACTTCCGAGCAGTGGTGTACGCAGAAATTTTTTACAAGCAGCAACATCAATCTATTGTCACAATTCAATTTGTAAGTGAGTTTTGGTTTCGATATTATATGTTGTTTTCTAGGCTATACTATACTTCTTGTCTCGAATTCATTCTTTACTATTGTATGATATGGTGCGCGGATTCTTTTTAAAAATATTGAATATATGTTTGACTCTTCAAAGACGATATTTTTAAAGAATTCGAGTAATATAAATCATATGTATATGCATCATTTTCTAGCATAGTATACTTATACGGAAAAAAAATTAAGTTCTATGCACTAACATAAGTAAAAGATAATCACACAATCATGTATAAATATGATATTCTATATGTTGTAACATATTAAAATATATAGATATATATAGTATGTTTTTTTTTTTTTTACGAAGCAGTGTTGGATAACATCTTGACTAAAAATGGTCTTTTTTTTTATAGTGGATACAAATGGACGAAAATGCCCTCCAGCATCACCACATTTTCCTCATGATGAGTATTCTCAAGAGAAGTGCAACTCCAAATATTATGAAAAGAATTCCAAGAAGAAAAATAAGAAGAAGAAATTCAAGAAAATGACAAATTCCAAAATTAAAAAATTTACTAATTTTGATGAAGAATTTGCTAATTTTCATTATAAAGGTCTTTTTAGTAGTGATGAAGAAAGTGAATTAGATGAAGATGACAATAATACCCTTTTCTCATCAAGGTCATTTACAAATTCTGATTCATCGGAATATTCTCTCCGGCGAAAACCACGGCGGCGGAGGGCGGCGAAAGGTGGCGTAAAGGGTAGTCTTGCGGTGGTGAAGAAATCAAAGGATCCTTATGGTGATTTTAGAGATTCAATGTTGGAAATGATTATGGAAAATCAAATATTTGGTGCAAAAGAACTTGAAAATTTATTAGAATGTTTTTTAAAATTAAATTCACAATATCATCATGAGGTAATTATTGATGTTTTTACTGAGATTTGTGAAGCTTTGTTTTCTAGTTTGTCTTAGGAAACAAAAAAATGTATTACAATATGTTTTGTTATGCAACTTTGTTGTTGTGTTTTGTGTTTTATTAAGAATGAGTAGTTAGTGCTATGTCTCGAGTTTGAGTTATGTGTATATGGGGTTATATCTGATTATGTGGAGTGTTTTATTTTTTTTAAGTGAGATATTTCAAATTTGAATTATTCGAATTTTGAAAAAAATATTGTACACCAGGTAGAAAATAATTAAGAAAATAACTAGTAGTGATAATCACTTGGCTAGAAGTAATTTACTATATTTTTTATCAAATAATAAAAGGTTAGGCACTTATAGTACTTTTTTAAAAAATAATCTAAAGAATGTAGTAACTAAAATATATAGTTTTTTTAATGTAAAATCTCTTACACTATTGATGTATTTTAGTTTGTTGTAGTAAATCGTCTGCATTATATTTTCTTTTATATATTACTAATCACATTTATTACGTATAATTATATGCTATTATTAGAAATAGTTTTTTTATTTTCACAAAATATATATAAGGCGACGTAAGTATTTTTTTTCTAGATCTTACTTGTTAATAATAACTACAAATCAGATACTTAGATAATTTAAGGTAAATTTGATAATAAAAAATAAAAATAAAAAATACTAGTAGTACATAACTTAAATTAAAATAATTATTTGTAGAGATAGTCCGTGAGAAGATTGTGATAATAGTAAATCAAAAAGAGCAGAAGAAAAAGTGAGAGCATAGATTTGATAATAGACTGACAATAAAAGGCAAAAAATGACAAAAATAAATTTTCATGGATGGTTCTAAAAGGTGTTTTCACTTTACAAAACATTTGATTGATGTAAAATATTGCATTTGTCTCATTTTTAGTAATTTTTTTCAAATATTTTGACTTATTAAACTTGCTTTTGACACAAAATTCAAAATGAAAACAAGAATTTTTTATTTTTTTAAAAAGATGAGATTTGAATTTAATGGTTCAAAACTGAAAAAAGAGTAGATTCTTAGTTTTTGAATAAGTTAGTTATATTTACTAGATAAAATTTTTATTCAAATCAAATTTTTGGTTACAGTTATTGGTTAAAATATATTAGGTATCTATTTATATCCAATTCATATAAAATAAGAATGAATCAAAATTTAACTAGCTTTTATTAATCTATCCGAATTCAATAGAGTTGCCTGCAATTATCTTTAATGTGTTATTTTTTGTATTGACAAAAATTAAACTCTTTTATATATTAATTATGATATTATTAGGTAAAAATAAAGAAACAATTTGTTATATTTGATTAAAATTCGTATATATATATATAACTTAAAATCATTTCTTTTTACAATCTCCCCTTGTTTACCCTTATCAACATGGTACAATTTTCAATGTTAGGTTAACAAATTGTTACAATAGTTGAAGTTGGTTTTTAAGTTTGAAAAAAGTGTTGTAAAACAATTTTAAATAATTATTTTTCTATGAAAAACTACACTATTTCATTAAATTAAATATATATTTAAATATAATTTCAAATTTCAATTTTTTTTTTTATAACTTCACTTAAATTCCTTTAAAAAAATATATATCAAATATCATTCAATTATTGTTCAAATGCCTACTTAGTATATTCTCGTAAGTCGTAACCAACAAACTAGTCAAATAATATTATATTTAATTATGTCATTTTATATTTGGAGTTGAAAAGTACATTACAGAATTATTGTATCTCTTTGCCCCCTTGTTTTTCTACACATTGGAAATAAATGGAATATATGTTTACAAGCCAATCTTAATTTTGTTCCTAAATTTACAATAGATTTTTTTTTGTTTATTCAATTTGGTGTCGGATATTTAGATTTGAGATTTTTCTAAATTTAAATTCGTGTATTATAGTAAGATTCATTTTTTCGGATGATGCTTTCAATATTAATATTTTCATTTTTGAACACTCAACCCTGCTCACCTCTGATTAAAAATAAAAGGACCTCGACTCATCCCACCACGACAATTGTTATTTACAAAAGTAGATTCACCTAATGCATGTACTAAAATGTACCAAAAATATAAAATAAAATAAAAAGACTAAAGTTTATACAATGTAAGAAATATTGTCCTCATGTTTCAGTAAATAAGGAATATGTCCCTTAAATTTTATCAAATGTTACCAAACCAATCATGTGGGGAACAATTTTTAATTCAATTTTGTTTCCTTACCGACATTTTTTTTTTGGGTTCATAGGCCACAATTTATATATTTTTTTTTAAAAAAAATAATCAATGATTATCATTCAATTTTTGAATAGGTATTTGTTAATGATTACTTATCAATTAATAAATAAATGAATAGTACTAATTAATAAATGCGTTAAATTATTTGATTTGAATGCTCATTAAACTTTCAATTATTGTAGGGCAAATGACATATTATAAAACAAAAGGATGGCATTTAACATTACAAGTCAAAATCAATAAACACACAACGCTCCACGAATAATTGAGTTATTTGAAAAGTATTGACTCTTCCTCTTTAGGGCAGAGCTGCAATTCTAATTATGAATTCGATAAAATTTAATAATTTTAAATAAATTTTTATAATTATTTTAAAATTTAATTTAATTAATATAAATAATTTATTTCAGAATTTAAAAACTTGTTATCATTTTTTTTAAAAAGATCTTGAACTAATAAATTTTAAATTTTGGTTCTGTCTATGTAATTTTCCTTCTTTCTTTTTTTAATTTTATTTTCTTCCTTGTTTTTGTATTGACTCTTTTTCTTTAGGGCGAAATTGCGAAACTATAATTCTTGCTATAAATTCGATAAAATCCTAACGTTAAATTTATCAAACATTTAAGATATGTTAAAAGGATTTTGACAATAAGAATCAAAGTGGAGTATTGGAAAATAACTTTTTTTCACGGTACTCATACATACACACATACATGCTGCTAATTATTAATTTTTGCTACAAGTCTTTACCGATCTAACTTTATCAAAATACGTTGAAGTTTGCTTTTAGTTACTACTGAAAGGCATTTCAATCCATTGAGAGACATTTCAATTAATTCTTTTTGATGCCCCATTTTTTAAAATCACCAACAGTGGTATTAACAGCTTCATTGATCTTATGGAATCTGTGAAATCTTCCAAAGAACTAACATACCATTTTTAACCCGTAAGGGCTACCCTTTTAACCCGTTTGAGTTACTTTTTCTACCCATGATTTTTTCAACACACATGTTTTTCTCAACCAATTTTTAACCAAAAATAATGGTTAGCAACAATCTCTCTTTGAATGCCCCAAAATTTTTCATATACCAAAACTATCAAATTTGGTCTATGAAATCATATTTTGAAACCTATGTGATATGCGATGTGATGGAAGAAAAACTCTTACAATCTCTCCCTACTAATTCTAGAAAAGTTCAAATTAAAGCTATTTCAAATAAACTACTACATTTGAAGCACAAAATCAAATTTTGCAAGTTCAAAAACAATAAAAAAAAATCGCGCATTAACTATTAAAGCAGAAATTAAGAATGATCATTCTTTTCAATTGCAGTAACTAAAACAAAGGAAGAGTGTTGAAGTTTGCTTTTAGTTACTACAGTAATTTTTAGCAAAATAAGTTGTCTAATTTAAGATAAATTTGAAATTTCAATTTTTGTTAGGTATTTTAGTTGTTGAGATAGTTTAAGATATTTGAATTTTAAATTATACCAATTATATTCATTTTTCTACAGGATTTTAAATTTCTGAGTTTAGAAATGGTAAACCAAGAATGTCCAAGAACTCTACTTAATAAAATTGACTGAATATCTAGGAAATAGTAAGTAACATATTATAACACGTTAAATAACATAGATAGTGTTGAAAATATTACGTCCGGGAGCGAAATCACTTGGGTGCAAGGATATTCATTTGAATTCCTCCGATGGAAAATTATACTATATATATAATATTTAAATTATTTTTTCTATATATATAGTCGATCAATATAATAAATCCTCTTAGCTTTCTCATATGTTTACTTCTTCATTATTTGAACCCCTTAATAAAATTTTGGCAACATCATCTGCTACTAATTACGCTATTAACATATATAACTTAATTAAATCATACAATAGAGTAGTGACATAAACTAAAAATACTTTTGTTTCTTTTTTGGAAAAATAGATAAGCCAAATAATTTGAAATGTTTGAACTAACGAAGCTAAGGTTGTGAAAATACAAAATTTTGCCAGTTTCCACTACCACAAAGATTAGAAAATGACATGTCATTTTTGACCACTTTACAATAAGAAACTGAAAAGTCTGCTTCAAGAAATTAATTAAAAGGTGCTACTTCTGCAATAGCTATAGTAGTGGTCATTTTTTTCTATAAAACTACAAATGAAAAAGAAGACACAATGGAATTAGAAATACTGTCATGAAATACTTTTTAACAGCTTCAGAGAGAATGATACCAAAATCATTAACTCAAAAAAATAATACAGTAATAAATCTTTGCAGACTTACCAATAATAATAATATACTCAGTGTAATATAATAAATGAAATCTGGAAAGAATAAATTATACGCAAATTTTACTTTTATCATCATGGATGTAGAAAGATTGTTTCTGATAATGCTTCGGCTAAAAAAAATCCGAAGCAGGATTGCAAAAAATAATTTAAAAAAAATAACAAAATACAAAGTAAATGAAACAAAATATAGTGATATACTTAGATTTATTTTTTGGCAGATTTACAAAATTCAACTACAACATACTCACTGTAATATCACAAACAAATGGAGTCTCCAAATGGTAGGATGTACAATTACCCTTACGTTTGTGGGGGTAGAGAAATAATTTTTGATAGACATTCAGTTTAATTTTTTTAATTTCAAAACATGATTGCAGATGAAAATATGACAGCAAAATAGCAAGATACAAAATAAATTAATACACTAATTAGAACTGTTTTTTGCTTACTTGCAAACAACTATAACATATCCAGTGTAATATTACAAGTGAAGTCTATAAA